GCAATTTTTGTTTATAAAAATTGTTGACAGTGCAGGGATCAGTCTCTAAAGCGAATACATCTGTATAGTCTGAGCATAATTTTAGTAATTTATCGCGGTGGTGTAAAGGACAGTTTTGGGTTAGTTTATTTAATATAGTGTTCTCTCTCTCTTCAGTATCGTTTGTTTTGCTGATGTTAACCACCTTGTAGTCATCCAAGGATTCTGTTCTGATCTTATTTTGTTTAAGAAAAACATTATTATCTGTTGTATTTATTATTCTGACATATGGATTCCTCGTGTTAACTATTGTATTTGCTATTATTATGCCTTCTTCTAACTCTTGGTTTGGGATTAGCATATTTTCTGCGGTTGCAACTATGTGGATTTTCCTAATAACTTCCGCTCTTGCCGGTAAACTAATTATTCCCTTTGTGGGCGATTCTAAAATTTCTAGCTCCAAGTGACTTTTCAGAGAGTTAGGTCGTATTATCAATAGACTTGGACCATTATACATGTAATCTAATAGACAATTGAATTGTTTTATGAAGTCTAACCCTATAATACCATCGCAAGGGATTGGAAAATTTTCGTCTACTATTTGGAAGTTGTGAATGATTTCTGAGTTATTTATATAAAGTGTAGCTGTAGTGGCACCTAAGGTTTTTATGGAACCATTTCCTATGCCTTTTAAATTGTAGATATGATTTGTACTTATTTGAATTTGATCATTTTCCGATGTTTTGTATATACTAATTTCCGAGCCTGTGTCTATTAAAAAGGTGGACTCGTAGTCATTTAGCGAGGAATTTACGGTGACGAAGTTACTAAATGACAAATTGATGTTTAATAAGTTCGCAGTGTTTAATTTTGCGCACTCCCCAGTTGGGCACTCTGGGGGTGCTCTGTGTTTTCCGATGCTTCCGTGTAGCGTACATTCCTGTTATGGTTATTACGGCCCCTATAGCTATTATTGTTATCATTGTTTCTGTTTGGGTTGCCGTTGCTGTTATTATAGTTACTGTGGTTTCTACCCCGATTATTTCGGTAATGGTTTCTATAGTTTCTATTACCTCTGTAAGAATTATTTCCTCTAAATGAATTATTTCTCCTGTTAGAATTGTTCCCTCTGAATGAATTATTTATATAGTTTACCTGAAGGGTGCCTGAGCTTTCGGCCCCTAACTCAATGAATTTGGTGACCGCGTCACTAACTGTTGAGAACTGCCCTGCCCTCATTAACATTTTTACTTCATCAGACCTTGCATTGGTTCTATCGCTTTTGCTGCCGAATGTGCTGAATAGTTTCTTGCCAACGCTGACGACATTCCATCGGAGATGTAAGCAAGCTCTAGTTGTTGTGCAAGGGATTCAATTTCTTTGGCGAAATCGCCGTCAGACTTGTTGTGTTGTTTTATGCCCAACAATTT